TATTCCGTGTTGTGTGCATAGATGGTCGTAGGTGGTGGCCCTCGGTTAGTGTCTTTGTGATCGTAGGTGGTGGCGTTCTTGAACATAGATGCTGTGTGAAAAAATGAAACCTGAAAAGGAACCAAAAACAAAATTTAATTTTGGGTAGACCTGGAACCGGACCGGAAAAGCAGAATAGGTTCCAAAATAAGGTCTAGAAAAAATAGGATAGGTTTCAGGTTCCAAAAATTGAGAATCGATTTTAACAGGATAAGTTCTAGCTTCTAGGTCTGGACCCTACCTACCTTGGAATCGATCACCCCTATACAAAACAGGTCGGTTCTTGGGTGGGTCATTTCTCGGGCTATGGTAGGGAATCGACCCTGTGACTCGAAGTTCTAAAAGGTAGGAAGTGGGAGTCCAACTGGTCAGGCTCTCGGTTCTAACCGCTAACCTGCCCATTTATGTTTTTGTGTAAAAAATCAACTTATTATAATAAAATATAAAATTTACACCATTTCAAGTTAGTTCTTGGTATTAACCGCTAACCTGCCCATTTGTATGTTCAACTGATAAATATTTAAATTGGTGAAATTATGAATTTTCGAACTTTGTAATCTAATCTTTGAACACCAAAAAAATTGTAATCAGATTCTAATTAGAAACAAACGGTCGTTGTCCAAAGGGACAATAATAAAAATATTTGAATGGGACAAAAAGATTGTCAAAGGGGACCAAGTTTTTTGTTGCCTTTAGTGCCCTATTTGGCTTTAAAAATCGATCGAAGGCAACAAACTTTTGTTGCCAAAATTGCACAAACACGACGAATTGTTGTTGCCTTTGGCGACGAAACTTTAAACAGGACAATCTTATTTTGTTACCTTTGGTTTTCAAAAAGTGCCTTAACCCTCTTTTTTTGTGATTTATCCATATCAACATTCTGTCCCAAAACATCTTTACCCAAAAAAAAAAAAAACATTCTGTCCCAAAACTCAACGTAAATTCAACTCGATTACGCTTTTTTATATGATATTTGCATTCCCATGCAATAGCTTTATAAATGGAAAGAAGATAAATTAAGATGAAAAGGAAGAACAAACTACATGGATGTTCAATCTCCCCATCCTTGCTCTTTCAATTCATTGACAAACTAAGGTCATGAAAACCCTTTAGGGTGCGTTTGGTCGTCTAGATTTGGATTGGAATTGGATAAAGGGAGATTTGAAATATTCCAAATATCCTCAGGATTGTGGAAATATCTCATCAAATGTTTGGTGTAACCAAAGATAGGATTTGAAAACTTTGAAAATCTGCAACCTAATATAGAATTGAAATTTTTTAAAAATCCTTCTTGTTGAAAATGTTTTAATATCCCGTCTTCGATGGGCTCCTCGTGTATGTGATGACTCAAACTCTCTCAATCTCTGTTGCCAACAAGCAATCTCTAGGAAATGGACCTCAGGAGCTTGATGACTTTCAACAGATATGACCTCTTCCATTAAACAAAATTTCGAACTGAAGGCAAGGAGAATCTTTCTCTGGCATTTCATCAAACACTTGATGAATGCTTCGTTTAGAGTCTACCAAAAGAGAGATCGTGGAACAATAGAGGCCGAGAATGAGTAATTAAAAGTGAAGTAGAGAGAGAAACGGAGAGATGATTTGGTGATGGTGAAAAATTTGGAAAACCAACTGAGAAAGAAAGGGGGCCACCAATGAGGTGGTGAGCCCTAGCCTTCCAAGTGAGCCGCGAGCAAGGACATCGGCGAGGATACTTGAAGATGCTGGAGTGAGGGACCATCACGATGGATGGCCGCCGGAGTGGTGGTGGGTGCCACCGGTGGGGTTTCTTTTGGTACGTGGGAATTGTTAAGTTAATTTTTAAAATTTTATATCCAATCCGGGTCTATTCCACCCTCTAGGCCAGATTATTTTTCCGGTATTTTATCTAGATGTATTCGGGTTTATCCAGTCTGGACAACATTACCAAACACCGGATATGATAATTTAATATCCAATTTAGAAATTGAATGCCGACTATTTATATCTCAATACTACTTGCAAGCAGTCGGGGCCTTCTAAATAGGCCCAAGTTTTTTGGACTTAACAAATTATCAAGGCTCGCAGGATGCTCCAGTGGGCCATTGACAATCCAAGAAACTGGGCTTTTGCGCTGGTACATTTGGGTTATCATAAAAAAACAAAAAGAAAATACTGAGGTGACGTAATTAATATTCTTAATTTCCCTATCATTTTGACGGATATAAACATATGCTTTACAACCTAGTACTCAAATTTTTCAAGCAGTATTAAGGCTCCGTTTGGATCGCGAAAAATGTGACTTTTTTGGAAAATATTTTTCGAAAATTTAGAAAAATAACAATATTTTTCGATATTTGGCCAAAATCTGACAATGAACTGGAAAATTTTTTTCCGTCGTTTGATAAGGAAAATCTCATTTGATTTTCCAAAATAAACGTACACATTTTCGGATCCTAGTGGCTTGCGCATGGATAGCAAAACCCGGCATAAGCAGTAGGGTCTCAAGCGCGAATCCCCTACTTCCAAGCACAAAGCATGAGCATGGGCATTAGTCATGGATCCATTGAAACCAAGCCAAAGAATTCAGTTCCCATGCTCGACTTCCTGACTCCCCGGCCTCAGCCTATTGAGGCCGGACCTAATTCCTTGGCTTTTGGGCCTTGGTAGGACCCAGGCCTGAGGCCTCAGCACCCTAGATCGTGATCAGGCCTAGGTCGATCGAGGCTGAGCCTAGGACTCCGATACCGATGCACATGACCAAGTCCATTGAGGTCGAGCCCCGAACCTAGCGCCCAAACCTAGGTCCATCGAGGTCAGCCCTAGGACATTGTGCCCATGCCTAAATTCATTGAGCCTTGATGGACCTAAGCATGGGCGCCAAGGACTCAGGCCCGGCCTCGATATTACTGGGCCTGGTGTTCTGGGCACAGGCACCAGTGTCTCAGGCCTGACTTCAATGGACCCAAGCCAATTTGTCGGGTTTTAGACTCGACCTCGATGGACTCAGGCTCAGTGCTAGGGTCCTAGCCCCGCTACCAAGAGCACGGGAACAAGTGTTGCAGTTCTTATGCTCAAGAGTAGAGTTTCTAATATAAGTACCTATATTTTATCATATTTTGGAAAATGGTTTTCTTTTAAAAAATTAGAAGTCATTTTCCTGCATTTAAGTTTTGGTAGGAAAACATTTTATGTTGATTAGGAAAATATTTTTCAGTGACTCATTTTCCTAAGCAATTTAACACTAAAAAATGAGGAAAATATTTTTCGTGAAACAAATGAAGCATAAGTGCAAATCAAAAAGTGCGCATTCGTTGTGATATCTCTCTCCCTTTCTGATGCAGCCCATTTCTCTACGTAGTTAGGCCTATTTCTGCCAAATGTTATTAGCCTACAATTCAGTCATCAATAGTTACCGAACTTTAGAATTTACTTGCATTTGAGTTCGCTGGACTCCAAATGGCTGTTCCCTATTGAACGTACTTGCTATTGATGTTCATTTTTCGACTAATCTTTGTTTTGAAGCGAAAAATACCACATAGGTTTATTCACGGTGCTCATGTGGTGTCGAGTTGATATCACATCAGTTTTGAACAAAAGCATAACAAGAAGAGAGAGCTCTCGCTGTGTCTTTAATTTCATATTAATTCTTTGGAGCACCTTACATAATGTTGAGATACACATGTGATTTGTGTTAGAGAAGTCTCACATCAGATAATTGATGTGGTGTTGACTAGTTAATATATCCCAGTTGGTTCATAACTCATTGGCTTAAGCTTTTGAGTGAAGATGGGTTCAACTAGATATATTAACAGGCTCGGACCTGAGCTCTCTCTTAGCGATCTCCCCTGGTGAAGGTATCGGGCTTCTGCTACGCACTCCCAACAAATGGTAGCATAGCGGATGGTTGATTGGTGGGCCTCCAATATGTTCCCGCTGTTTGGTGAATATCTCAACAAGGAAATCTCATGATCGACTCTTGTTTCGGGTGGAAATTGTCATCATGGTTGGTCTGGCGAAAAATGACCATGGACAGTTGGTTTGGTGACACGAGATAAAGACTATGGGTAATGCAATCCTAAATTAGCAGTTGATGATGGTAATTGTCATAAGCAGATGCAGGTTATTGTGCATTGCAATGACTTGGAAATTCAACTTGAGATAAGCTGATGTAGAAGAATACATAAATTAAGGGGAAACAAACCTAACACTGAGCTCACATGTGGAGGGGAGATTGTTGAGATACACGCGTGAGTTGTGTTAGAGAAGTCGCACATCGGATAATTGATATGGTGTTGAGTAGTTAATATATCATGGTTGGCTCACAACTCATTGGCTTAAGCTTTTGAGTGAATGTAGGTTCAACTGGATATGTTGACGAGCTCGGACTTGAGCTTCCTCCTTGCGATCTCCCCAGATGAAGGTATCGGGCTTCTACTACGCACTCCCAACACATAACATATCATAGAATTAATTATGAAAATCAAATTGCAATCAATAGGGCTTGGGAGAGCCCGTGTTAGGTGTAGCACCACCTGTCTTGAGGGATTATTTGTGCCCACTTAGTCATCCGTCAACTTGCCTCAGGATATTGCATTCTTCCCCGGGAAGGGTCGCAACCGCTTACAATGTCGGGAAGGGTCGCAACCGCTTACAATGTCCTAGTCTAACGAGGATGGGCCATTTAAATTTGTTTGTGTAAGGTAGGTTTTCCTCATTATATAAAAGCAAATAAACCTTTGCAAATTTGGGACGAAATATAGATGCTCTAAACAGTTCGTTTTCCTAATTAATTTGGCTAGTTACACAATCATTGCCTGTTAAGATGCAATAGTAAAGCAAAGTTATCTGATTCAACTCAATTTAAAAAGTTATTCTATGTTGTAATTTGCGTATAGCTTTGAGGAAAATGTAAAACCTAACTTAATTTTCTTTGTTTCCTCTGTTTCTCGATCCGAATTGAGAAAACTGAAATGCAAAGAGAAAAAGAAAGACACAGATTCATTGAAAAACAGAAATGCTACTTAACCCGAGACATGAATAGGAGAAAAGAAAAAATCTGTCTGGGTTTCAGACACCCACCGGACTCCCAGGAGGCTCAGGACAGGGAATCACATATTAAAAAAATTCATGATTTTCACTCCATTTTAAATCGAAATAATATAATATATTTTGATATCCTACCTAATTTCCTGCGCTCCCCATACCCAGACTCTCCGACCAAGGGGCCACCTTAGCATCGGCAACAATTAATACTGCACCAAGGTGAGCCATGGATTGGAAACTGAAGGCCCACAACATTCAAAAAGATACCACTGGCTGTTATCATCCAACTAAATGCTATAAATATTAAGAATTATTTCTAAAATCGACAAGCCAAGTGATGCAGCGGATTCTTACTGGATTCTGAGTCGGACCCATTTGATCAAATATCCGTGCATCGTTTGCCACATCGTTTGATATATCAATTTGATATCAATCTCGATATTCCGCTGATTATGCAATATAATTGAGACTATGAAGTGATCCCTAACCATTGACTGGCAATATCACACCTAACATCGGCCAATCCAACTCTTGACTTGACTAAATCAAACTCCATCCACTTGTTCTGCTGATGATGATGACCAATCACGAACGCCTCCAATCCCAATAAGTCGGAGTTCCCAAAAGTGAAGCAATACACCATATCGCTCCCCCTTGTCGCACTGGGTACCCGATACAATAGCCTCTCGTCCGACACACTCATTTCCGCGCCTCGAAATATTAAGCTTACCCGGGGCAAACCAGGCAGACCCCGTTGGTTCGGGTCGATTAGAAAACACGTGTCCATCGCGCCTTCAAACACGAAATTCGGGTCTTCCAAGGCCCGCAGGACGCCCTCCGTTTGCCGTGTGAACTCGTTCTTCAGCGCAGCATAGACTGGCCCTAGAAGGAAGGTGAATTGGGTGCCCGAATCGATCATCGTTTGGCCCGCCCCCGTGTGATCCGGCACGAAGACCGATTTCGGGAGGGCCAAGAGCTTATCTGAAACCTTTATTCCCTCCAGTTGGACCGTGTACGCGCCCCGGTCGAAATAAGGCAACGGAATGGACATTTCGACGAGTGGAGTGTAATTCAATGTCTTGAGCCACGTGAAGCTCGCGTCGCGGCCTTCGCCGAAGAGCAAAATCCCCGACGAGTCGAAGCCCGAGATACAATACGAGAACTTGGAGAAGCCCATTTGAGTGACGAAAGACAGCGACCCGCGGTTCATGCCCATCAACCCGGTGGTCTTGGAGTCCTCTTCTTTGTTGCTGCTCTGGCCCGAGTCCATGCACCCGAACAGGAACCCGGCTCGGGAGGACGACCCGACGGATATGGTCTCGGACGCGAGGTTGCCCTCTATAGAGGACGCGTCCGCATAGGAGATGGCGGTGTGGCAGAGCTTGTTCGGGTCGCAGGAGGCTGGTACGGGCAGGTCCCGGGTCCTGGTCAGGCAAGTGAGTGAGGAGCAAGGGACGGGCGAGTAGGTTCTCGAGGAGGCCGGGTCAAAGACGGAGTTGAGGTCGGGCGATCTCTTGCAGTGGAGCCAAGAGAGCTCGCTCCCGGTGTCGAGGACCATGGTGACTCGTTGCGGGGGCGAGCCCACGGCGAGCGAGATGGTGAGGGTGACGTTGTGGTAGAAAGGGAGCTTATCCGTGGGAGAAGCTCTTGGCAACAGCCCATGTGGGGTTGCTTGGGTTTTGAGGGCGAAAATGAGTGAGTTTGCTGGGGAGAGAGCGTGGGTTGGAGGGAAGAGAGTCAGGTGTAGAAGCAGAAGGTGGGTGAGGCCATAGAGACAGGCCATGAAGGAGGAGCAGAAGAGGTGCAATATATTGAAGGGTGTGATTTGTGTTTGTGTGGTGGTTTTGAAGGGGGTATTTTTGGGAAAAATCGAAGGGAGGGATCAGAAGAGAGGAGGGAATGGTTTTGGTCTATTCTTTTCTTTGGGTGGAAGGAGGAAAAGGGAACATGCGCCATGCTTTTCTTTAATGCTGCTCGTAAATGACCTCATGCATCGAGGAGGACCATCTGTTCTGAACAGGGAAACCTTTGAATAGAGGCAGTAGGACAGAGACTAGTTTATGAGGATTGGCATAAAACCCGGGGCATAATTTTATGTCTTAATTCTATTTACGAATGCCTCATCAGCAACTCAAATTGAGAGTTGCGACATCTATAATATCTCGAATTTATTCAAATAATCTCACATTTCGTGAAAGGAAAAAGAGAGAAAAGAAATTGGAGCTTCAACCATCGCGAGTTTGGAGTGAAGAAGAAGAGAGAAAGGACTAATAGAACAGGGGAAAGGGGGAAAAAGGAAAAAGAAAAGGGAAGGGAAAAATTTGGAAGGACATATATTGGCAACATGTTGATATGTCATCCTCCAATAGGAACAAATTGAAGAGGGTTTCTAGAATTGGTTTGTAATTTATAACTAATATGCATTCACCGTATCATAAATTCAAAAAGTTAAGCATCGCAACAGCGTGATGCTAATGATAGAAAGATTATTTAGTAGCTTTTGTTTCCTAAATGACTTGTTGAGACTACATTGATTGTTTTAATCAATCGAGACCCATATGCAAGAGGATTCATCTAAATGAATGTCCAATCAACTGTCTTGGATCGCGTCCTGAGATAGATCTAGTCATTTATCTTTTAGGTTACCGGTGTCAAGGAGAGTCATCATGATATCCAGACATTTTGCTCCTTTCTTACCAAAAAAGGAATTACTAATAAATATTACCAACAAAGGAATTACATGTCGAGTATTTAGATTGTGGTTATCATGTCGAAGTATTCAAAGTTTACAGAAGACCCGATTCAACATTTAGTGACAATTGAGCCTCCTTGTGATTGCTGCTACTGCTATCCCTGCAATTATCCATTTTTTGATAGTGCACCTGGGAAATCTCAAGAAAGGGTCCCAAAGTAACTTCATAAGACCTATTATTAAGGTCGGCTTTCTCGTTAAAAAGTAAAAGGAGAAGAAGAAGGAAAAACGAAGAGAGATCAGAAACATTTTGAATACGTTGCACATTGTTCGATGATATAGTTGTTCCGCAGAGGAAAATGGATGGTCGGACCGGACTCGGAGATCAGAAACATTTTCTAATTTCTGACTACGGTGGAAACTCAGAAACTTGCCGTGGATGCCGCTGACCGTTGCAGTCTAATAATCGTTCAATGGAACAGTTGTTCCTTGTGTTGCCGGGTAGAGTGGTTGGTTGATTTTAAGGGGTCCTGCATAAAACTAAGTTATTGTCTCACACGGAAGTCGTACAGCAAAAGCAGGTCTGACTGGCGTCTCGACTGCCTAGGAAACACCAGTCAATCGAGTTAACTATGTAAATGTGAGTTTGCGGCCCGAGATTTGTCACCAGGACAAAATCGAGCGAGTCTAATCATGCATTGAAGAGCAAAATTCGATCATCAATCAGAATCACGTTCGAACTGTCGAATATCTGAATTCGATCCTATCAACGATGCAAGAAAGTAATGGAAATTCACACAACACAAAAATTTACGTGGTTCAGCAGGGGAGATGTTCCGTCTACCTACGTCCACGGGAAGAAGAGATCCGTTTCACTAATAACGTAGAAAAGTATACAGCCACTCTTTCTCACCTCCTGCCTCTCTTCTAGAGACCCGTTTCGCCCTAAATATATATAGCGAAACCCTACATGGCACAAATTACAAAATTACCCACATAGCCTAAAATATTTAGCTTTCCCATATAAATCCTTCTATGATTGAACATAAAACGCCTCTGGCAGCTCGGGGGCGCTACCCCCGCGACCCCCGCCGGGGTGGCCCCCCCGGACCCCCACCCGCTCACCTAGAAGCGGGACCCCCCTGCTGTCCAGTCGTCAGGGGGCCTTTCGGAATCGCCTCATAATCTCTCGGATAACAGAATACAAGACATCAACCTCAACACGAACACATGGCGTGAAATAAATCTAACCTCTAGCCATTGTTCGAGTTTGCGTGCGACGGAAATCCACGTAGATTCGACGGCAATTCGACAGTAATTATGGGCGTACTCTACTAACCCAATCCCTTCACATACTGATGGTATATTTCCGAGAGAGAGGGTTTGGTTTAGATCATATCATGCCCTTACGAAAATGATCGATTGTCTTTTATAAACTACCTTTCATCAAGGCGGTTTCCAATGGGCGGTTGTTGACAAAAAGGTACGAACGTGGAAAACTGTATGGTGGAATAACCGTCGCTCAAGAGAGAAAATGTGGATCAATGTCAAAGGGCGGGTTTTTTTTTAAAATCCACATCCCTAAAATGTGGGATCACATTATAGATAACACTATTTGCATAAAACTATTATAAATGTAAAAAATTTTCTAGCTCTGAAAAATTTTGGTACCTCATATTATAGTAAACTTTCTTACTACATGAGGGGCGGTCGCTTATTGAGTTGAGCAAGGGCAATCAGTGCTAACATCACAAATGCTCTATTCGATTTAAATGACAATATTTTTCGATATTTGAATTATGTTTAGTAATGAATTGTAAGATATTTTCTGTTGTTTGGAAGGAAAGATTTTCTTTTTATTTTCCTAAAAAAACATGCACCATTCGCGTAATATAAAAACTACACATTCTATATCATGAGATTTTAAATTAACTTTTCTCGAATTAAATTTTCATAACATAAATACTTTTATATAGGTTCTTGACTTGGAGGGTGTGTATAAGCCACCCTTGCAACGCGTGCTCCCCAAGCTGGTGCTCCTAAGGTACCTAGGATTGAGATCCACGGTGTCAGACTTGAACCCAAGCCCGGTTGCGGATTTGCAATATCTCGAGACTATTGACATAAAGCACACCAACTTCACTTCCCTGCCGAGTTCCTTCTAGAAGGCAAGGAAATTTAGGCACTTGCATCTAAGGGGTGGTCGGTACCCGGGAACCAAACCGGTGAGACCGATTCCCCGTTTTCTGGAGCTAAGAACCAGACCACCTAGTCCTAGGACCGGTCTGGTCCAGTTCCCTAGCTATCCAGTGGAACTGATAATGCTTTTGATGCTCTTGCAGGACTAAGGTCTGTGGTGACGAGCCTCAATCGAATGAAGGGCCGAGACCTCAGATACCTTGTCTATTGCCATTGGCATCGGCAAAAAAGGCTTGAACGATGGCTTGAACCTCGCGGACACGTCAACGCAGTATGGCTAGGGACTTCTTAACGCCGGTAGAGAAACGATCAACAACGACTTCTCGGCAATGTGGCAGAGCCGAATGGAGTACGCTTCTGTTGTGCGGCTGGTGATGATGGTGGCACACTGCGATTGAGAAAGAGGCACAACGGGGTAAAGTCACGGTCGCAATGGAAGACTGGCGATGTTGGCAATGAGGCTGGAGAGGACGTGAGAGAGAAAGTGACTGATTTCCGAGAGAGATAGCTCGTGGAAGATGAAATCCGAGAGAGGGGGAATTGAAAGAGAAATTCCTTTTAGAGGACTCTCAGTGTTCCCTTTTTCTCAGGTGTGCCTCACCACAGACGTCAGTCCCATAAGCGTTCCATTAGGTTTTACATAAAACCGCTTTTCTTTAACAAATAAAAGAATAAAATAAATTGGTTCGGTCCAGGCAGTCTGGTTGGTCCGGTTCCCACCCAGGAACTGGGAACCGGACCGCCCATCACCGGTTCCAATTTTATGGAACTAGGAATTGGACCGGCGCCCTGGGAACCGGCCAGTTTTGGGCAGTTCCCAGGTTCAGGTGATTCCCGTTACACACCCCTACTGCATGTCAACTGGTTCAACGTCGGCTTGAAGGACAACCTCAAGGCTTGTAGCAACAATGTCATGGCCTTGACTGAATTCCAAACTTTAAGCGAGGCTGATTATCGGTGAAGTCAAGGAGAACTTGATAAAGCACCACACAGACAGCTTGACCACGCTCACCATGCTGACGCTCTTCTTACAACAATCGGATAGGGACACCTCAGTCGCTGCATGGATAACAATAGCCGATTGGATTAGCTTCAGGCTCACCAATCTCTAGTCCTTGACCTTAGGGGCGATCCAAGGAGCCAACCCCGCGACATCCGCGATAGGTCTGTTACCAACATTGTCCTTGGTTCAACACCATCACAACCTCGTCGAGCTCTACTCGTTGGGCCAACTCATAAAACCCAACTGGACAGAGCTCTTGCCTGGCTCGCTCAGGGTTTTGACGCTGCCGGGTTCGATGGTGGAAACAGACATGATGGCCCAGTTGGATGATCTCCTGAAAAATCTGAGGATATTCAGGCTCTTAGCCAATTCTTTCCTAGGCACTAGTCTGAGGTTCGCCAAAGACGGGTTTCCGAGCCTCATGATCTTGAAAATTTGGAAGCTGCCTGACCTTGAGGAGGTGATTTTTGAACAAGAAGCAATGCAACATCTCAAAGAACTCGAGTTTAGGCACCTCGATGCGATGGAAATTGTTATAGGGATCAACGAGCATATGTGTGGGAGTCAAAAAGGGTGCTCAAGGTTTTGTTGACCATCTCAAGGACGTAATAGGGGAAGAAAAGAATTTGTACAATACAGAAGAAACCGAGATGCCTGAATCCACAGACGACGACGACAGGTATGGTATAATGATAAATCTCAAACATGTTCTTTATGTAGGATGATGAAATTTTTTTTATAAACTTGATAATCTCAACAATTATTTACTAGTAGTTAAAACGAACAATTGTGATTTTCATCAAGTATTTCCTTGACTCGTTCCACCAGATCAAGTAAATCCATATCGTGAGTTCTCTCTCTCTCTCTCTCTCTCTCTCTCTAAGTGTGCAAACAAATAATTTCATGTAATTGTTATCTTGTGTTATGTACTGACATGATGCCATTCACCCAATGCAGAATACTCTTTCTTCGGTCTTAGGCATCTAAGTCTGCATATCCTCAATCCAATGAGGTTAGAAAAGCACGAGAGCAAAACAAAAATGGCTTAAATGAAGTTGAGAAGTCACGGTTAATGAGCGCATGCCGCATGACTCATGAGCTAAATAACTAATTTAATCAGCCACAAGCTTTTA